CTTCAACACCTGCACGACCACGTACACACTTGTAGGGGAGGTGGGGGGTTGAGGGTAAAGCAGTAGAAAGTCCAGGTGAGTGTGATTCAACCCCCTCCCATCACCAGTGGCACGAACAGGGGTTACACTCAAACAAGTGAGGTTCGAACCTTACCTCCCCACCCTAGTGAGGTTCAGATCACCAGCTCAAAACAGAAACAAAATGAGAAATGTACCCGTTGTTTAAAGGTTGGTTGTTTAATGGGTTTAAAGTCTATCTACTACACGAGGTCATTAAGGTTGGTTGGTTTAATGGGTTTAAAGTCTATCTACTACACGAGGTTCATTAAGGTTGGTTGGTTAATGGGTTTAAAGTCTATCTACTACACGAGGTCATTAAGGTTGGTTGGTTAATGGGTTTAAAGTCTATCTACTACACGAGGTCATAAGGTTGGTTGTTTAATGGGTTTAAAGTCTATCTACTACACGAGGTCATTAAGGTTGGTTGGTTAATGGGTTTAAAGTCTATCTGCTACACGAGGGACATTAAGGCTGGTTAGTTAATGGGGTTTAAAGTCTATCTACTACACGAGGGACATTTAAGTCTGCCCCTCAACACCAGTCAAGAATATTTTAACACCTAAAATAAGCATTGCAGTATACTCTCAGTGTATATACACAGGGATATACGCACCTCATTGTGTATATACCACGTGTATATACATGTACATATGCAATAAGATCACAGTAAACAGGTGATATCACAATATACATAACAAGCGCTTTCGTGACTTCTCACATTATCAAGGAACTGTCATAATTCTTTGATAATGTGAGAAGTCACGAAAGCGCTTGGAATTTCACTACTTTTTCACAGTGGTTGTTCTGGGAATGAACACTGTATACTCACTCCAGTGGAAGAACCACCAACTTGGGATGGTCCTGGTGATCCAGCTTCATACCATAAGTAGATTTTCCAACCACGCACAGACATGCTTACATCCCAAGGTGAACAGGTAAACAGGTAGTAACGGAGAAGCCAGTTCTGTTGGCGTTGTGTCTACCGTTTCCTTTACTGGTGACATCATCTCTTTAAGTTATCAGCGATTATTGTAGCGGAGGACCTGAAAAGTCCGGCGCAAACTGTGGGAAGGTTGTAGTAATGTGGAGTAATTGTGGACAGTGGTCCGAAAATGTGCCAGGCAGTGTGTAGGCGTAAGCAGCAGTGCTAGCAGCATGCTAGTAGTGAGTAGCAGTGCTAGCAGCATGCTAGTAGTGAGTAGCAGTGCTAGCAGCATGCTAGTAGTGAGTAGCAGTGCTAGCAGCATGCTAGTAGTGAGTAGCAGTTCTAACGGCATGCTAGTAATGAGTAGCAGTACTAGCAGCATGCTAGTAGTGAGTAGCAGTGCTAGCAGCATGCTAGTAGTGAGTAGCAGTGCTAGCAGCATGCTAGTAGTGAGTAGCAGTGCTAGCAGCATGCTAGTAGTGAGTAGCAGTGCTAGCAGCATGCTAGTAGTGAGTAGCAGTGCTAGCAGCATGCTAGTAGTGAGTAGCAGTGCTAACGGCATGCTAGTAGTGAGTAGCAGTGCTAACGGCATGCTAGTAGTGAGTAGCAGTGCTAGCAGCATGCTAGTAGTGAGTAGCAGTGCTAACGGCATGCTAGTAGTGAGTAGCAGTGCTAGTAGTATGCTAGTAGTGAGTAGCAGTGCTAGCAGCATGCTAGTAGTGAGTAGCAGTGCTAGCAGCATGCTAGTAGTGAGTAGCAGTGCTAACGGCATGCTAGTAGTGAGTAGCAGTGATAGCAGCATTCTAGTAGTGAGTAGCAGTGCTAACGGCATGCTAGTAGTGAGTAGCAATGCTAGCAGCATTCTAGTAGCGAGTAGCAGTGCTAACGGCATGCTAGTAGTGAGTAGCAGCGCTAGCAGCATTCTGGTAGTGAGTAGCAGTGCTAGCAGCATGCTAGTAGTGAGCAGCAGTGCTAGCAGCATGTTAATAGGAGAAAGCAGTGCTAGCAGCATGTTAGAAATTGAGCAGCAGTGCTAGCAGTATGCTAGTAGTAAGAAGCAGTGCTAGCAGCATGCTAGTAGTGAGTAGCAGTGCTAGCAGCATTCTACTAGTAAGTAGCAGTGCTAGCAGCTAGTGTTAGAGGTAGGGGTGAGTAGCAGTGCTAGCAGCATGTTAGTAGTGAGTACCCAGTGCTAGCAGCATGTTAGTAGTGAGTAGCAGTGCTGCATTTTGATAGCAGCATGTTAGTAGTGAGTAGCAGTGCTAGCAGCATGTTAGTAGTGAGTAGCAGTGCTAGCAGCATGTTAGTAGTGAGTAGCAGTGCTAGCAGCATGTTAGTAGTGAGAAGCAGTGCTAGCAGCATGCTAGTAGCAAGCAAGTGCAAAGTCATGAAGATTGGGGAAGGTCAAAGACAGAGTACAGTCTAGGGGGCCAAAGACTACAAACCTCACTCAAGGAAAAGGATCTTGGGGTGAGTATAATACCGAGCACATCTCCTGAGGCGCACATCAACCAGATAACTGCTGCAGCATATGGGCGCCTGGCAAACCTAAGAATAGAGTTTCGACACCTGAGTAAGGAATCATTCAAGACTCTGTACACTGTATACGTCAGGCCCATATTGGAGTATGCAGCACCAATTTGGAACCCACACATGGTCAAGCACCTCATGAAATTAGAGAAAGTGCAAAAGTTTGCAGCAAGACTAGTCCCGGAGCTAAGGGGCTTCTCCTGCGAGGAGAGGTTATGGGAAATCAACATAACGACACTGAAGGACAGAAGAGATAGGGGGGACATGATAACAACATATAAAATACTGAGAGGATCGACAGGGTGGACAGAAACAGGATGTTCCAGAGATGGGACACAGCAAGAAGGGGACACAGCAACAAGAGGATACAGCAACAAGGGGACACAAACAACAAGGGGACAGAGCAACAAGGGGACACAGCAACAAGGGACACAGCAACAAGGGGACACAGCAACAAGGGGTCACAGCAACAAGAGGACACAGCAACAAGGGGTCACAGCAACAAGGGGACACAACAACAAGGGGACACAGCAACAAGGGGACACAACAACAAGGGGACCAGCAACAAGGGGACACAGCAACAAGGGGACACAACAACAAGGGGACACAACAACAAGGGGACACAGCAACAAGGGGACACAGCAACAAGGGACACAGCAAAAAGGGGACACAGCAACAAGGGGTCACAGCAACAAGAGGACACAGCAACAAGGGGTCACAGCAACAAGGGGACACAACAACAAGGGGACACAGCAACAAGGGGACACAAAACAAGGGGACACAGCAACAAGGGGACACAGCAACAAGGGGACACAACAACAAGGGGACACAACAACAAGGGGACACAGCAACAAGGGGACACAGCAACAAGGGACACAGCAACAAGGGTCACAGCAACAAGAGGACACAGCAACAAGGGGTCACAGAACAAGGGGACACAACAACAAGGGGACACAGCAACAAGGGGACACAACAACAAGGGGACACAGCAACAAGGGGACACAACAACAAGGGGACACAACAACAAGGGGACACAGCAACAAGGGGACACAGCAACAAGGGGACACAACAAGGGGACACAGCAACAAGGGGACACAACAACAAGGGGACACAACAACAAGAGGACACAGCAACAAGGGGACACAACAACGAGGAGACACAACAAAAAGAGGACACAGCAACAAGGGGACACAACAACAAGGGGACACATCAACAAGGGGACACAGCAACAAGGGGACACAGCAACAAGGGGACACAACAACAAGGGGGCACAGCAACAAGGGGACACAGCAACAAGGGGACACAGCAACAAGGGGACACAGCAACAAGGGGTCACAACAACAAGGGGACACAGCAACAAGGGGACACAACAACAAGGGGACACAGCAACAAGGGGACACAGCAACAAGGGGACACAACAAAGGGGACACAGCAACAAGGGGACACAACAACAAGGGGACACAACAAAAAAGGGGACACAGCAACAAGGGGACACAACAACAAGGGGACACATCAAAAAGAGGACACAGCAACAAGGGACACAACAAGGGGACACATCAACAAGGGGACACAGCAACAAGGGGATACAGCAACAAGGGGTACACAACAACAAGGGGACACAGCAACAAGGGGACAAAAACAACAAGGAGGACACACAGCAGGGGCACAACAACAAGGGAACACAACAACAAGGGGACACAACAACAAGGGGACACAGCAACAAGGGGACACAGCAACAAGGGGACACAACAACAAGGGGACACAACAACAAGGGGACACAACAACAAGGGGACACAGCAACAAGGGGACACAGCAACAAGGGGACACAACAAGGGGACACAGCAACAAGGGGACATAACAAGGGGACACAACAACAAGGGACACAGCAACAAGGGGACACAACAACAAGGGGACACAACAACAAGAGGACACAGCAACAAGGGGACACAACAACAAGGGGACACATCAACAAGGGGACACAACAACAAGGGGACACAACAACAAGGGGACACAACAACAAGGGGACACAGCAACAAGGGAACACAGCAACAAGGGGACACAGCAACAAGGGGACACAGCAACAAGGGGACACAGCAACAAGGGGCACACAAAACAAGGGGACACAGCAACAGGACACAGCAAAAAAGGGGACACAACAACAAGGGGACACAACAACAAGGGGACACAACAACAAGGGGACACAACAACAAGGGGACACAGCAACAAGGGGACACAGCAACAAGGGGACACAGCAACAAGGGGACACAACTGGAAGTTGAAGACTCAGATGAGTCACAGGGATGTTAGGAAGTATTTCTTCAGTCACAGAGTTGTCAGGATGTGGAACAATCTGGAGAGTGACGTAGTGGAGGCAGGATCCATACATAGCTTTAAGAAGAGGTATGATAAAGTTCATGGAACTGGGAGTGGGCCTAGTAGCGACCTGTGAAGAGGTGGAGCCAGAAGCTGTGACTCGACCCCTGCAACCACAAATAGGTGAGTACACATACACACATCCATCCATCTCCCTCTAACGTCACCCGTCCTTCCTTCCTTCCTTCCTTCCTTCCTTCCTTCATTCATTCATTCATTCCTTCATTCATTCATTCATCGTTTCTCCTCGACCTCTTATTCCTTCCCACCGACCTCACATATTATGCTCTCTGCCCCTCCCCTCCCTCCTCCTCCTCCCCCTCCCCTCCCTCCCTCCCTCCTTCCCCCCTCCCCTCCCTTCTCCTCCTCCCCCCTACCCTCCCTCCTCCTTTCTCCCTCTCCCCCACTCTCCCTCCCTCTTCCCTCTCGTTTCCCCCCTCACACCCCACTTTCCCCTCCCTCCTCCCCCTCAAAGCCCCACCTTCCCCTCCCTCATATCCTCCCCCTCTCCACAAAACCCCGCCTCTTCAACGCCCCTCTCCTGCTGGTACCTCATTGGCTGGGCACTGTGCCAACACCGCAGGTGTATCACACCCCCTATCCCCTCTACCCCCTCCCCTTCTAAACCCCCTCCCAACACACGCACCCATCCTACAGTCTGTCCACTCCTCCCCTCCCTCTTCCAATACCCTCCCCTCCCCATAGATATATCCACCCCCTCCCACCTCTCCCCAACACAACATGTAATTTCTCCCATATTAACATTATGGGGGGGGTTGCATTAGAGACGGACCCCCATTCTATCCCATCAGGTGCGATAGAATAATTTAGATTTAGATTTTGCCGCTGTAGGAGCTAGTTTACTGTACACCTCATATCCATCCTGTGAATGGTAGCATACAAGCATATAGATACACAATAGGCCTAGAAACTAGGCCTCAAAAGGGTTAACAGGAGTACATCTGGATTTATATCCACAGTTCACGTATCTGTTACAAGCAAATTTAGGAAATCTGGTTAATATATCTGGTATCTTATTTTCATAAATAAGATATCTTGACATATCACATAGGTTATTATACTGTCTGTCTCTGTATTCCTCAGTAAGTGAACAATTAAGCACATAGTGTTCAAGACAGTGGTCATAGGCCTGGCATTTCGTTTGATCATCATCTGTGTGTCTGTCAGACTGTCAGGAGTACTTGTAACCAAGCTTAAGTCTAGTTACTGCAATATCAGTCAGTGTGTGTGTCTGTCAGACTGTCAGAAGTACTTGCAAGGTAATCTAAGCCCGGCTACAACATCAGCCAGTCTATTCACATTACAAGTAGTTCCATAAACATTATATATCTACATTCATGTTATCATAATGGGTTACAGATCTATTCAGGCTTTTAACTATGTTCCTATGGATCCACTTTTATTATTTACAGACACACCTAACTTACATTCCACATTTTCCTTCAGGGTGCCGTGTTTGTTTAACTTATCAACTTTATCATGGAGGAGGAATGCAGTGTGTGTAATGGAATCCGTAACTATTTTGAGTATCTATACGTTCCTTCTCCAATGAGAATGTTGTTAGAGTTATTACGTGAGTCAGGAGGCTTCGGTGATGACACAGTCAGTCATAACACAGATCAACAAAGGTTTCAGTTGATAGCAACAGTTGGGTATCTTTATTCCGAAACGTTTCGTCTACACAGCAGGCTTCTTCAGTTGAGTACAGAGGCGGCAGCAGAAACAGTAGAGATGTAAACACGATGTAATCATTCCATCACCCTTGAAGACAGTTTTCAAGAGGTCAGTCACTCAGCCTGGAGAAGAGTTCTGTTTCATAGTGTGGAACAATGTGAAGCTGAAGCAACAATATGAAGACTTATATCCAGTCAAAGGTGAGGCGAAGATAATCTTGATGACGAGAGAGACGAAGCTCACTAGTGGAACTATTACAGAAATATTCTTGTGGAGATGCTGGGAGCTTATCATCTACTGGGACGTAGGATGTCCAGATCGCTTCCCACTTCCTGTACTGGGTGATCTTTTACTTAACATTGGAGATAACAAAGTCTTTTCAACCCTGGACTTGTTACAAGGGTTTTGGCAAGTCCCTCTTCACGAGGACAGCCAAGAGCTAACTGCATTCTCCACTCCTACAGGTCATTATCACTTCCTCCATATGGCGTTTGGATTACGATCCTACCCTATCACGTTCTCAAGGCTTATGACTAATATCTTTATAGAGGTCTCATAGGTAATGCACTTATGGTGTACTTAGATGACGTAATCATCATGTCTAAAGACGTGGATACACACTTGAAAAGACTTGATGTAGTACTTGGTAAGCTTGAAGAAGCCAATTTAAAGATCAAACTGTCTAAATGTCAATTTTTCAGATCAGAAATTAAGTTTCTTGGTCACGTAGTCACTCCTAGAGGGGTTACGACTGACCAAAGTAAAGTAACTGCAGTACTAAATTTTCCAACTCCAAAAACTGCTGATGCCGTAAGATCCTTTGTGGGCTTAGCAGGTTTTTATAGATCCTTCATTGCCAATTTTTTCTTCCATAGCTGCTCCTCTAACTGAGTTGCTTAAGAAAGATGCTCCTTTTGTTTGGACCTTCCATCAAGAAAGAGCA